GCGACTGAAATTGGAACCCTGTTCTTTTGTTGAACATGAAATGTAAAGAGGGTAGTGGGCACAGTGTCTAATTACCACATATATATTGTTTTAAATATTCGTCTATATGTATCTTCAATGGTCATAACCTCCTCGGTGATCTTCTAGCATTTTTGCTTCGAACGCGGAAGGTCTTGGGTTCGATCCTCGGCCGTTCAAATCCAAGATTGACTGCCTTTCTGCTAAACACGCAATATTTAGGAGTAAGCGTAAGATTGATGGGTCCAGAGTGGAGTCAGAATAATGTGTCTGGGTAGGGTGACATGTCTTCCTGTGGACCGTTACCTTGAAAACTTGCACTGCAAAAAATATTGGATCAGGGTGTCGGTATACTTCACAGTCGCGTTCATATTTGTCTTCTCGTCCTGAATATGCATATTCAAAACTGCATAAAAATTATGCAATGAACACGTATGGTTCTATATCCTAATACAGATATTTTAGTTTTGCACGAAGTCGTGATCTTCTACACTGCATTGGAAATAAGAACAAAAAAGAAAAAAAAATAGAGTGCCGTTTTGACTGCATTGCGCAATAAAATCTTATTATCTTATTTTTTCTTTGTTTCTTACTTATGACAGATATACTTCAATGGTTTATTTAATAAAAACAAATTCGGTGACCACCTATAAATTGTTTATCAATATAATAGATAAAATACGAGAAAAATTAATGTACTAAAGGGATATAGAATATTTTGCCTGAAATGTCTTTTGTATTTGGACTCATAAAGCATTATAAACTGTCATTCCCTTCAATAAAAACAACACAAAATAATCCAAAGGCCGCGTTTGTGGTGTTTCATTTTACAAAGGCTATCCGAATTGTTTGCCCTCTGCATAGGTTATCTCATGCCAAGTTTTCTATTATATATCTCGATGTTCCCCATGTTTGTCGAAATGTTTGTATTCTTTTTGCACGCTTGAGTGTGATTGTAAGGCTAAATTATGACAGTAAAGTATTGATTTCTTTGCTAGATTAAATACATTTTCTGCGTTCGAGGCAATTTTCTGGATTTACCCCCAGGAAAACTGAATCAGCAATCAAAACCTTTGATTGATATGGGTATATGACACAATAATTTGTGGAAACACTTTGTAACAACTAAAATCGAATATTCTTGTTGACAATTCTCTAGTCATATTATACTGTTTTTCTTTAAATAATTTTTCAAAATCTTTTAATTATATTCCTTAAATCCACTATGTTACTATATTTATTTTTTTTATTTGTGAAGATATATAACCATAAGTTGCCCAAATTAATAAACAAGAAACAAAAACAAAAATAAGATCAAAATGTAGCAACATTGTTGACTCTGTTACGCCAGACCTGGCAGGTTATCAAGGGTAACGGGAACCCTTGTCCAAATTATTTTAAATGTATGCCCGAAAAGGGTGTTTATATAAATATAGAAGATGTGAAATGAGTGCCAATGAGACAACTCATCCAAGTCACAATGTATAAAAAGTTAACAATTATAGGTCAAAGTACGGCCTTCAACACGGAGCCTTGGCCTACACCGAACAGCAAGCTATAAAGTGCTTCCACAATTCAAACAGGAAAACCAATGGTCTAATCTATATAAAAAAACGAGAAACGAGAAACACTTGTGAACCAAATCCAACAAACGACAAACAATGAAAACAGGCTCCTAAATAAGGACAGGTACATAAAAGCGCCAACCTTCACCCTAACACGAGACAGTAGTGTAACATTACAACATAAAAAGACACAATATATAATATCAATAGAAATGGCTTAACTCGATCAAAAAGACCCTTTAACAAAAACAAGTAAACATACACTGAACGAATAAGTTTGATCCATGACACAATATAAATACAATATTAAAACGTAGGTGCCTATATAACATAGACGTTACAGGTAGTAATAAAAAAGATGTAGAAAGAGTGTCAATAAGACAATTCTTACCTGGGAGGAAATGGCGTTAAAAAAAAACAACGTACACAGGTAAATTTAAATATAATAATTTTGCAGTTAGGAGTACTTTTTTATGTCAATATTTGTTTTAGATAACCGACCTTTTATACGGACCGTCGCATATAGCCATTGTTTATATCGAGTTTGTCCCAATATAATTTGTAACACATTTCGAAAGGGGAAAATTAGCAGTAATTTCATATTTTATTTGTCCCTCCAAGAATACTAGTATTTTGAGGCCTTGAAATAAAAATGTTTTCTTGCAATCAATGTGTAGTACGGTAAGCAGGAAGTGTCATCTTTCAACTTGTTGTTTGCTGTTTCGAGTGCTGCGTGTCCTTTACAACTGATTTTTACATTTTCTTTATAACATGCTGTTACACAACTGTTCCAGAATCGCCTTGGTAATCTCGTTGTAAGATGATCGCCCGTAATGCAGAGGTCGGGTCAAACCAAATACTTGAATATTGATATTTGGAGTCAGAATAATGTGTCCGATCGGTATATTCCGGCGGAATGTTACCTTGTGAACTAGCAGGTTGGAAATCTTGCACAGTGTGTCGTTCTTACTGGTTTTGATATTTATAGCACATTATCATCATAATGTTTTAGTTCGGAATATGCATTTAATTTGCTACTGGATGTCAAACAGCCATTCATGCATTCATTCACTGTCACAGGTTAAAAGAGGGCTGAAAATCAAACATGTTTCTACCTACAACATTCATTATGTGCTGTAGCAAAGTCAGGAGCCTGTTATTCATATTTGTTATAGGTTTATTGTTTAAGCATATATCAACCCATTTGTGTTTCATGTTTGAATTGTTTAACATTTGTCAGGTCGGGGACTTCTAGAGCTCAATATCCCTGAAGATATGTCTTGTCTATTGTACAACTACATAGAAATAAGGCCTGAAACTATATGAAAAACCGAAGAGTTTGATTTTATATATTATTTAATCGCTTAGTGTTTGTTTTGCAATATATTTCTTTTGGTTAAAGATGACAAAAGACTAATGCCCGAGGATAACAAGTACTAAAGTATTAATACAGGCTAGTGGCACAACTGTGTTAACTGAAAATTTGAGGATTAACGTTGTTAATATATATAAAGATGTAAGTACAAATGTATATAACAAGTAAAATAGCAAAAATATCAAACTCCAAGGGAAATTCAAAACGGACAGTCCTTAATCAAATGGCAATATCAGAAGCTGAAACACATCAAACGAATGGAAAACAACTGTCATAATCTTGACGTTGTACAGCCATTTCCTATTGTAGAAAACATAGTTTATCAAATACTATGTCAATCAATTAAAAAAAGGCATATTGTTTAAGGCAAAACTTTCATGATTCATTTGTAATCAGTTTATCGGATACTTTCCGTGTAGTACATTAAAATCAAAGATATTTCTTACTTTTGTTGTGTTTATCTAAAAGAAAACTATTTTGTTTACAACCCGTCGCTTAAAGTTGAAGTATAAACTTCAAACTGTGTTGAACACAGAAGCGCTAAAACGATTGTCAAGTACCCACTTTATAAAAGGTTTTTTTTGTAAAAGTTGTAAAACAACTCATTTAAGTAGCATGTGAAGCCATTTGATCATACAATTTTATAAAACCATATAATTAACACCTTTTTTTATTGTGCTTATTGTCGGTAGCTTTCGCATGCTTGTACTTTTTACAATCAGGCGTTAAAATCCAAATTTTTGACGAGTTCCAGGTTAAGTAGCCGAGTGTTGACTGATAAGCAAAAAGTCAGAGAAGCCTAAAGATATACACAAGATGGACAAACCTTTATATATAATTCTTTCTAAAAAAAGTTCGCTTATAATGATTTTTTTTTCAACAAATTTATTTCTTTGCAAAATGTGATGATGACGACCGTTAACTAAAACTCTGGCTTTTTATATAAAGTAGTATAATATCATTGCAATTGAAACCAAAATATACAGTAGGCAGTGAAACAGATGACATGCATCAATCTTACTAAGAACTGTAATTAAGAGGTGATTTTTTCTCTTGCCGATCCTCTTTGCCTTTAAATTACAATCTCAACCAAACATTAAAGTGGACTAAATTACTTTAATTTGTTTATTGTTCTTGCATTTAATTCTTGAATTCTAAAATTTTGCCAAATGGAAGACCAACACCCTTTTTCAATTCTAAATGGAAATATAGGGATATATGTTATATCAACACATTATGTTAAACTCAAATTCCCATATTTAATTTATAACATACTAAAACGTATATCCAAATTACAAAACGTCTAAAATAAACAATTACTAATGCATGGACTCGATAATATATATCAGCATTTCGTGTGCATGTTATTCAAGACGCCATATAATTAACAATCGAGATGACCTCCGAAGACTGCCGACGGTCATATAACCAAATATAAAAATAAATATAAATATGAGTAGATAGCGAGCACGTGCCATTGGATATTTTTAAGTCTGTTTGATTTCATATTATAGGTTAAGATATGTTAATCATCGTTTTCATCTGTATAAGAATGATTTTTGTGGATCGAATCAGTCAACCAAATTGGTCACTCTTGTTTCAATTGCAATGTTGACATTCTTTTCCTTTTAATATTTGAACACGCCTAGTACGTGCGTAACTCATCTCTAATGAAGGGATTGAATTAAAGATCACATGAATACAGTTCAATGAGGTTTAATTGTTGACTTGCAAGTCAATCATACATCAGCGATTATTTTGCACATATTTTGACAAATTTGGACCAAACTGACTGCTCATAACGAAAAATTATTACAAAATTCCGCTTTTATTAATACTTGAAACAAAAATAATCGTATTTTAAATTTTTGTGTGGATCGTAGCTAATGTCCCTTTAAGATATATAATATCATCAACAATGTGTTATAACAGGCGTATTATTGCTTTTAATGTCTTGTGCAGTTCCTTCATGGTATGAGTTGGTACTTAACTATTCATTTTCTTAAAAGTAATTCAATTTTAAATGATTTTAGGGTAAACTCACGGATAAACTGCGATGCGTTGTTGGTGAGGAAGAGTACGCAGTTGTGGTAGACGACTCCTATACATTTGTCGTATGTCAGGATGTTAAGGTATTTATGCATGCAATACATTGTTTAACGATATACAAATAAGAAGCATAAGAAGGTTACCGATCTTCACATCTCATTCCAGGCAGGAATTCCAAACGGATAGAGACCGGATGCGTCGACAAGATAAATGTCTCATTCTTTGCAAGCAGTATTGATCTACAGATCCTAAACTTCTCTTGTGAGCATAGACATAGACCTGTGGTATCGGTGAATCATTTTTTTTTTGTTACCGTTAAACTTATGTAGCGTCAATTTCCATAATTTCTTCCAAATAATCTTGTCAGATCAGTTTTGAAAGAGGCACACATAATAATGAAGGCGGTATAATGCGAACATGTTAGGAAGTTACGTAACGTATCAATATTATTACGATTAGACAATATTAAACTTAACAGCGGTGGATATGTTACAGCTTAGAAGCTGACAATTTGGAAGCTGAAATCATAACTTGTGTCATGAATTCTAGTTTGAATAACCATATGTGTCAATATAAAAAACGATCAAAAGCAATCCTTGTAATTTCAGTAGTATCCATCTAGGATATCACAAATAAAACACTCACTTAAATATCAGTGATTGTGTGGCTGGATATCAACATAAAAATTACCTAAATGTAGCAAGAACTTGACAAGATATTTTTCTCTTGTCTTTGGGAATGTTTTGCATGCATTTTCTTTCGTATGAGTCGGTCCGAAACGTCGGCCAGTAAGGCTTCTCAATTAGTATTCGAATAACGACTATTTGTTGAAATATCAATCCATAAAACTCAACAAAAATATTATCGATAAAAAATCCAGCATTTTCAGTTTATTTGATGTTATACTCAGTTTAGTTCGTCGCAAAGTAAGATTTACATGATCTAAACCAAAACAACTGGTATCTACGATTCACATGTTTGTAGAAAAAGCACTGTTTAATGTAAAGATGCAGTCGGTTTTCAATTGCGCATATGTAATATTATTGTAAAGTGAAAACAATTCAAAATTTTTTACAATATTGCAATGATTGTGATTAAAGATTTTAATGTAGATCTTTTTATTTTATTATAATCCATATATAAGATATATACCAGGTTTTTATTGGCGTTGATAAATTAATATTAATATAATTGCGTACATATTACTCCCTGGTTACCAGTTTTGTAATTGAAAGACTCTTATGCTGAAGTATTATAGCCACCCGAGAGTACATAAAGAGCAGTTTGTTAAGACTTAAAAGTTTGGTAATGCCAAAAATGTATACAGTTTTATCAGGTTTTACACAAACTCATACAATTCCCACGAACAGGACTTGTGTTTGTTGCTTTAGAAAAACACTCGCTGGATTTTCGAGTAGAAGTTGTGAAAGCTTCATAGTCTTTAAATATTGAGTTTGGGAGAAGATACATATTTCTTATAATCAATTGTCAAATTTGAAAACATCTTCGCTTAGTTTATAACAAAAGTAGACTGCATAATCCAGGGAATACAGATTGGTAATCTTTCTATTGAATACATTAATGATACATTAATTTTATTATTTATTTGATGCTTCTGAAAGCTTTTTAGTTACCTCAATTAGAAACGCTCAAAGTCATAACTATGAAAGCCGGAAAAGTATAAATACTTGAGACATAAATGACACAAAGGAATAAAAAAGAAAGCCCATAGCTATCTTAGGTCAACGTTGCCTGCGTAAATTGGATCCTTCTTTTCTTTATAATTTTTAATTTTATAAACGATAAATAAAAAAAAAGGTCATAATAGTTATCAAAGGTACCAGGCTTATAATTTGATACGCCAGACGCGCGTTTCGTCTACATAAGACTCATCAGTGACGCTCAGATCAAAATAGTTAGAAAGCCAAACAAGTATAAAGTTGGAAGAGCATTGAGGATCCAAAATTCCAAAAAGTTGTGCCAAATACGGCTAAGGTAATCTATGCCTGTGATAAGAAAATTCCTAGTTTTTCGAATAATTTATACTTTTGCAAACAGTTAATTTATAAAAATGACCATATTATTGTTATTCATGTCAACACCGAAGTGCTGACTACTGGGCTGGTGATACCCTCGGGGACGAAACGTCCACCAGCAGTGGCATCGACCCAGCGGTTTAAATAGTTATCAAAGGTACCAGGCTTATAATTTGATACGCCAGACGCGCGTTTCGTCTACATAAGACTCATCAGTGACGCTCAGATCAAGATAGTAAGAAAGCCAAACAAGTATGAAGTTGGAAGAACATTGAGAACCCAAAATTCCAAAAAGTTGTGTCATAAATCTGACCATAAGCGAAGCACAATCTTCTAGGCAAGATAACCCGAGAATTAACAGTTCACTAGCAAAGGTAAGGACCAAGTGCTCGAAAATAAGTTAGAATAAAATTGAGAATGGAAATGGGGAATGTGTCAAAGAGACAACAACCCGACCATAGAACAGACAACAGCAGAAGGTCACCAACAGGTCTTCAATGCAGCGAGAAATTCCCGCACCCGGAGTCGTCCTTCAGCTGGCCCCTAAACAAATATATATACTAGTTCAGTGATAATGAACGCCATACTAAACTCCAAATTGTACACAAGAAACTAAAATTAAAAATAATACAAGACTAACAAAGGCTAGAGGCTCCTGACTTGGGACAGGCGCAAAAATGCGGCGGGGTTAAACATGTTATAGAATAGAATACAATGTATAACTGTATAACTTTAAAAGATCATAGTTGTAGATCATGTAGACCTTTCACCAACTTTAAACTAAACTCAAGAGTCAATTTTGCCTGTTCAAACCAAATTACGGTTAACTTTTTAACTGTGTCATTACGAAATATCTCTTTTGCAGAATTTTTATCATCCATTTCCTACCAGCCTTAAACATAAACTTAAAATATTGCAATTCAACAATGATTTAATGCATAAGTAGGAGATCTTTGACAATCTATGAAAAATATTGTATGGTTATTTAGCTGGATATTCGTCGAAAGGTGGATATCAACAGCAAAAATATTTACCATGATCCTAAATTTGCTTTTTTTTATTGTCAACCTATCGGAAGACATTCTACCTTGATATATAATGAATCATCGCAATTGTAAAATCATCAAACACGGAATATGAATTGTTATATCATAGAAAATGCAATGTATACTCGTACATGTAACACACATACTTTAGGTGATCTTGATATCAAATATGATATGCAATAAGATATTCAACTACGTGTTTTGTAGGCTCCTAGAAGAGACATAACAAAATTGTATCTTAAGTATGATGGTTCAAGATTAGATAATACTGTCGATATAGAAGGTAATGCTTTTAAAACGGCACACAAAATTCTATGTTACACTGTAATGATATTTTATAATATTGAAAAGATCAAAGGATAAAATATATAGTTGTTGTCTGCGTTATATTAACGTCAAAAATAGTGTTTAAGGCAACAGTATATAATCATTTATATATTAAATTTTAATGTCAGTTGTACATTACAAAATTGAATCAAAGAAATATGTCCATTATTTACTGCTGGCAAGGTGGTGTTCTTAAATGTCCTCAGTGAGAAACCATTCATGACTTTAATTTTTATCTGCTGTAAACGATGTGTTTCTTCTTTAAAATGCAGTAGATTTTGCTGGATCGGAAGATTTCCCAACTGTAATTCATTATGACTGCTCGCTATATGTTTTGATGTATCAATATTCTGCACTCAGTTCTTTCCTGACAAAAGATTACATGCAAATGTATATTTATGCACATTGTTATTTTAGTATATAGATATATGCATAGTGTTATTTTAATATATAGATGTATGCATTTTGTTATTTTAGTATATAGCTGTATTGACTTTAGTAGCAATTGTGGAGTTTGCAAATATCATAAGACTCAGGGATACAAATGTGATTGGTGTGGCTCATGCAAAACGTTAATTGATAGTGTACCAGAGAGATGTCACCATAGCGATATTGTTCATTGTCAGTTATCAGTATCAGAGGTATAGTTTTAAGAAATCTTGATAATTAACCATTCACGTGCCTGTTTTGTTGACAAAGTCATTGAAACCTTTGTGCGAATGTTTTCATAGAAGTAACTTTGTACGCAACATATTTCATAAATTCCTTTAGAATGTTACTTTTTACCATACCGTTAGCTGTCAAAAGAATTCAAGACCCCCTTCATATAAAATTTTCCATATTTTGAGTTAGAGCTGATGAAGTTTTCTATAATACCGATTCCATATATTCAAAGTTTGAATGATTAATTGACATTTACTTGAAAATCAAATTCTTGATTCTGTATACTAGTAGGTGGCCTGAGAACACAGTTATTTCGTAGTGCATTTCTTTTAGACCATAAATAAAAATTAGAAAAATCCCACCAGCGCTTTCTCAATAATATTTTACAGTGTTGTGTACTACTTTTGGGACAAATCATATAAAAATTATAGAAAACTTCATCAGCTCTAACTCAAAGTATGGACAATTTTATGTTAGTGGGGTCTTGAATTCTTTTGACAGCTTCCGAAATACTAATTTTAAACCTTTTTTAGCTGGACCAAATCACAACTTTACTTTAAATTTCATGACCCAAATTTTTTATACAGTGTAATTTCATCCCCTCACTTGCTTTTTGAGGCATAAAACATGAAGAAATAAATTTGGAAAGGGTATAAAAAAAAATTGCAAGTAACACACTGTCCACACTAAGGACTATATTCGTGGACAACATAAATCAAAGGACGATAACTGTGTTCCCGGATTAGATAGCTGTTTATCCTTTTTTACTTGCAGACCCGGTGTTTGGATTTTTTAACATAAATCCTGAAAGTTGTCATTTCCCACTTTTTGCAATTGACAGGTTTATCCATCCGCAGGGCCTGAATTCGGTGGAACACTGATTAACATTTCTGGAGGTAATATTGGTAACCGAGGAGATAATATTTCAGTTACCATAAATGATATCAACTGCAAAAATGTGACAGTTATAGAACCATCTACTGTGTAAGTATTAAGAACCTAGGCATCAAACAATAGTTGTAACAGTAACAATAAACAAAATAATATTATTCAAATAATATCATCATGATTTCATTACTCAGACATCTGGTATTATTTACATGTATCAGATTTTAGGCAACATAATCATTTAATTCTTCCTGCCTCTGTTTGAATTACTGGAAGATAAAGTTAACAATCATCAACTTTTGATACGTAGAGAAAACAAAACTATACTACATGAACAACATAGAACGCGCTACGCCAAATGGCTGTTATTGAAATAATGACTGTATAGGTATCTTATCCAGTCTTCACTACACAAAGTTAATGGTAATTTGTATAACGGTTATAATTAGGTGATTTTCATTTCTTGACGTTTATCAAGAATCGACGGTTAATTTGCAATTTTGTTAAGATAGAAAAAAAATACGAAAGATACCGACGTAATATTTAAACTCATAATTCGAAAACGAACTAACAATGCCTTGGCAAAAACAAAAACCGACTAAAACACAAACAAAAGTACACAAAACAAAACATAGAAAACTATATTTTTTTCATTTATTGAAATTATGGGAAATTGACTTATATCTAACTCTAAGACATCACTCAACAGAAAATTAACAATTTTATAAAGTTACTATTTGCAGTTGATATTACGATTTCGAACCTTTAATTTATTATTATATACCAACATTAAAGCAGCATCGTCATATGGAGAGTTTATCTACTCATACGATTTTCCAGGACCTACGTACCTTATATTGAAATATTTTGTGGAGCGTAGTGGCTTTTTATGAAGCTCCTCATTAAATTCTTTTTATTGTAATTTTGAAGAAAATTTTATACATGTAAAATGAAAAATCAATATCTAAGTTCGTGCCATTTTGTTTTATAACACTAATGGATACAAGTCACATGAATTGAAACCGTTATTATCTTTTAATAATTTTCTTATATATATATATATATTTATCGTTGTCTTTTTAGGGAAACTTTTTATGTTATGTCTTTTCCTTTAACTATGGTGTCTTTACCCTCCGTCGAATAGTGGTTTCTTTTATTGTCCACTTAGTAGCTTGTAATTTTCATGCTTTTTTCAGATCTCTTATTTTCAGCTCAATTCCATTTTATGTACATAACATTCCTGTATCTTTTCTATTTATATGATAAAGCACATTATCGAAGAACATTTTATTCTCTTCTGCTTGTCAAAAATTATAAATATCTGCCTAATGATTAAGATATGTTTTATACGACTCTAAAACATAATTTTAATATGTCATAAAAAATAATTTTCATATTTCAAGAGATGATCTGTTGATAAACAAGACCCTGTCTGTTGTAGACCTTACAATTTCAATTTAATAATCAAATTTACAAAAATAAATCGACTGAGAAAGTGTCATTTAAATCCGGCAATCAATCAATCAATAAATTGACTGACATACAAGGATTCAATTGTATACACCATTAATATTGTTGCTGTTGATATTTATATTCTTGTAGGAGATATGTAAGCCGTCATTTTCGGATAGAGTTATTAATCTAAGGTGTCAATGTTGACGTATTTTGGACTGTCATTGATTATCTTTCGTTTGATATAACATATTTTTCAGTATCAGCTGTATCACTTGTAATGCATCTGGAAGCACACATGATGGAGTAAGAGTCACTGTAAATGGAGTCATTAGCCCATTAGCAAAACACAAATATACTTTTCAGGTAAAGAAATTAAATTGTGGCTAAAAGGAAAAGTGTAAGGGTAGTACCATAACCATACAACACCAATTATTTTGTTTCAAAACGAGCGTAAAATGTATTTTTACTCGTTATTCTACCTGTACTAGATTATCCCGTCCACAAAATTTTGAAATAACCATGTTAACACCTTTCATTTATCTTTAAGAAAAACTGTTATTGTACTTCAATTCGTTTGCCTGGTATATCTATTTTGTCAATCATGTGAAATTTCATTTTTAAAAAAATTAAAGTCTCTTTCAGTTTGTATGTAGAATGGGAAGATTAAAATTATACCTTGTAATAATTATACAGACTTTAAACACATCTGATTGACTCGTGCAAAGTATGCACCTCATTTCTAATTGAAAAAAAAAATTCATGATTTGTAAGATTTTCTTTCTGTTTGCGACTTTTAAACATATATTTTTTTATTGTTCATTAGCAATTCTAATACTTTTGAAAAGGTTATGACGTCATCGATTTCTCACTCCGTGTTCAAATTGAGCTAAACTAAGTGTGCTATTAGTGTCATCGATTCTCAAGCTAAACTTTATTACATTCCCGTTGATAAAAATCAGTGTACATGTAGTTTTAATCAGGTGTTGAATAACTGAAGTCGGTAGTCAATGTAGACCTTGTGCGGGTTAAGTGTATGCAACACTAGATATTTAAAATGTGAATTTTAGTACGAATACTTAAGAATATTTATTGAATAAACATAATCATAATAAAATTAGGAATAAAAAGAGAGGAGAAAGATACCAAAGTGACATTCAAAGTCAACATAGAAAACAAAAGACTGAGCAACTCGAACCCCACCAAAAACCGAGGTGATCTCAGGTTCTTTGGAAGGGTTAGCAGATCCTATTTCACATGTGACACTCGTCGTGTTACTCGTATTAAATATGTCGATACGTTATATCAAGTGATTTTGCATCACGCAATAGCGTAAAGGTAATTGACTCAAGGTTACTTTATTCAGTAATTTCAATTCCAAGCCAGAATATTAATTTGGATTCAAACGGAAACTAAGGAATTAATAAATCTAAGGCAGCGGAACTATATGCAGAAAGAATTGAATAGTATTCACAGGAGAACGCTGATAAATTAAAAGTAAAAACAATTTGTAATTTTGCATTACTTAAATAACCTTTTTTACCTATTCCTACGATGCTGTAGTCTGCGTAATCGTGAAATCGTTTGAACCATCAAAGTACTCCAAATCATTGAAACGGCTTTCTTAAGCATCGACCAATAATCTTTTGCCGGGTGGAGTTCGTGACTGTGTAAAACTGTTTTTTTTTCTATTACTCTGATAAATAGAAATTTAAAGAACATCAAGAACACTTTTTATAAAACTCAACCCCAATTTCCCCTATTTTCCACTGAAATCTAAAAATTTTGTTTATTTTCCACATAAAAACATATTTATTTTCAAGACATTCTGAGTTTAACTAATTTATTCAATTCCTCCTCCCCCAAACAACTACAACATCAAGAAAAGATGAATTGGTTTGTGCCTTACTCTTTGTTTTGATAAAGAAGTGTACCGAGAAGATTTCAGTTCAGTTCTGTAAAATGTTTATTTATATTATGTGTACTTCTGGTTTACTCGTGTGAATTTTTTTTATGTTCAGGTTATTTAAACCTGTGTACAGTTAAGATCAAATGTTTTGCGTAAACAGTGTTTATTTCATAAAACTAATTGTAAACAGTACGCGACGTTTGGTGTGAACACGGCCTACGTATACATATATCATATCGTAATTTAAAAATCGATGAACAAAGTTTTCAATACATTTCAATTGATGTGTTACTATAACTACGGAAGATTCTACAATTAATATCTTTTCTAAATTTTTAAAGAGTCATCTTGATTTATTAACCTTCTCGCCGAACAGCAGCATTTTGTCTGGAGGAAGAAATATATCAATACAAGGAACAAATATTGGTTTTATGGGAAGTCGCTACAACATTTCATTTTGTAATGACATTAAGTGTATACAGTGCAGGTGATATATTGTATTTGTATTTATTGATATAAGCACTTTTATTTAAATTTAAATCAAGTTTTCAATAATTTCAATGTTCATCTAGTTTAAACAAATGAAAACAACACTTAATAAATTGCATGTATCTGAAGTGCTTTTCTGGATTTACCTTCACCAGGAACGATCAAAGACAAATATTTGAAAGCCACGAATGTGTTATAAATCATTTCAGAACCGAAAAACTGCCTACTGAGCTGATGATACCCTCGGGAATTGAAAGTCTACCAGCAGCGGTATCGACCCAGTGCTGTACAAAATTAAAACAACACCATAAATTTCATGCGTCCGATGCGATTTTCTGGATTGACCTTCATCAATGCCGAATATTTGAGAGCCAATCATGTATGATAACATTAACGGTACCATTTATTCAGCATCAGATGCGCATTTCAACAATAACTGTCTCTTCAGTGATGCTCGAGGCCAAAAAATCTAACGCTTATTAAAAAGAACCGAAAAAGATGCAGTGTTATATAACCAAAATAAAAAAGACCTTAAATAACAGTCAAATCCATTGAAGGTGAACTTTGCCTAAGTTAATTGTAGATTAATACATTATCGTACATGTACATTGTAAGTGAAGGATAATAGTATATTTTCTTATCGCCATGTTACTTGAATCATGACGCACGATTCTGCAGTGCAATTGTTCAATCCATGACGACAAGATAAAACACACCGATGAATAAGAAAAACTCTTGAAATTACCATCTCCTTTACAACTAGTAAACATTTTTTTGTTTAGGGGCCAGATAAAGCCCGCCTCCGGGTGCGGGATTTTCTCGCTGTGTTGAAGACCCATTGGTCTTATTTTGAGCTGTTTTCTACTCTTTGGTCGAGTTGTTGTCTTAAACACATTCCCCGTTTCCATTCTCAATTTTACTCGCTAGATCAGATAAAAAGACAACGTATACTCTCTAAATATAAATGGTTTGTTTTTATAAAAGAACAAGTGCAAATTAATCACTATAATTCACTTTTACTTAACATACCGTTTTCTTTTTTTATACCTCAGTATTATATGGACATTTATTAAAAAAGGAATGACGTTCATAGTTAAATTGATTATCCTTCACTCCTAAAACATGTTAAAGTCATATGATACTTCAAATTCAACAACAAATATGAATATGTTTTACATACTTGAATGCTGTATTTTGCTTTAAAACATGTGTATACAGACATTCTTATAAAAAAAATCCTGTCTTTTATCAAAATCTTCAGAAATATACTGCAATTGAATTGTGGCTTTCCGTACTATTATTCGCCTATAGCTTTTCCGTATGCTGCAACCTTAACCATGACACATTCTGTTAGAAATACGCAAATCGCACAGCACAAGTGCGAAGGAAAAAACTGATGAAAAAAGTAAACAAAAGTGAAAGGAATATAGTACTAACTTATACGCTTATGGGCGCACCATATCAGTGTATGCAAGTAGTCATGACCATACGCGTAAGGTCCAAATACTTATAAAGTCCGGAACATAAACTATTATACATTTGAGTAACATTTGCCAATAACCTATGCTTTCAAATTTTTCTGGTTTCAATAAGCAAGATATAACCCATTTTCAAAGCGGAAACGTGCATATATTGTGTTTTTTCTAAAGGGGATATGTACATGTGTACAGGAGTTTTGCAACCGTAAATTCGCTGACCGTAAGACTTCTATGATCTTTTATTATGTTTGCACACGTAATATCTCGTTTGTTCCGTTATGATTAACTCTATTATCAGTATAAATAATCAAATGATAGAAAATGGGAAATATATATTCAGATCATATGTTCTTAATATTTTTGTCGTCGGGTATCGTCTTGTTCCTCCTTTAGTTTTTTATGTATTGTTTTTGTATACTTTTTTCGTCGTTTTTTATGGGGGCCTCAAATCAGTTTTGTCTTTCTGATTTCTGAGTTTTATTCTTTAAATCTTGTTTTCATCTCTTTTGTCTTATACAATTAGAAGATTGGTTGCTTATATCGTCTTATGCCAGCTGTAAGTTCTTAGTTTCACATGCCCTCAATCATTAAGAAAATTAATTTAGATTTGCGAAAAAAAAGAATGATGTATTTCGACTTTTGCTAATTTTCACTCATGCGTGATTTTCGTTACAAATTTATCGTCAGAAAAAAACAATTATACATATTTTTTATTTCATATCTAGATTTCTACAAATTGAGGGTGACCATACTGTTTTATGCAGTATAGATAGATCTGACAGTGTCATTACATTAACATATCTTAGTGTTACTATTGATGGAAATACTCATCTTAACATTAAAAGGGAATTCAAGATTGTTGTCGATCCATTAGTCGTAACCCTGTCTGTAGAGAGCACAAGTGTATTTCGAAGGTAATTCAAAACAACAATGTTCGAGTAAAAAATACTAAGAAGTAAAATTTTTCCTGTGAAAAAAAAAAATGCATTACATTTTTAATTCGACCAAATTTTTTGTATAAGTATGACTGCTGCCAGCCTCTAGATTCTTGTTACAAATCGAATGTCGTATCATTTTTTTACAGTGTTATAATTATTTGTGGGGCTCGTTGATTGAGATACAATGTAAAGCGATCGGTCTTTTGCCCCCAAAAAATGATTCCAGCGGGTTCTCAGTATTAATGAGATTTGAGCATCGGCTAACTATTGTTGTTTCGAATTCAGTACAATTTGTAATGGGATAAAAAAAAAACAAACGTTTCTCTTAGTTACATTAAGCGTCAAATTTATATTAACGTATTCAACAGTATGATTACTAAATCTCCGTAGTTAAAAAAATACTTAGAATAATAAATGTACAGGAACATTGAAATTTCATATAAGATGAAAGTGTAAATCAAATGGTTACTTTATAATATTATAGGTAGCTAAAAGACACAAAGTGTCCTAATATTTTTGAAACATATATTTCAGTGGAGGAACAAAACTCATAATAACAGGAACTGGCTTTTTGGACGTAGGAATAGTAAAAGTAGACACTCCAGTAAGTATTCTCACAATGATACCTGTTTATTTATGTGCATAACTAGAAAAAAGTGCCTACACATATTTTAACTTAAAAATATGGAGTACTGTGCTATCGAAATATCGTTACATAAATTATGTAAAATCTACAACTGAGCAACTGAGATGTCACCGAGTTTGGTTGGGTTCCAGTTGCTCAGTCTATATTTTTCTATGTAGTAATTTGTGAACTTGTTTGTCTTTTCGTCGTCTTTCGTTTTTTTTGCCATGTCGTTGTCAGTTTATCTCGACTTCTGAGTTTTGAATGTGACCTGTGCATTTTCTGCCTTTTTTTTAATAAAAAAGTAAAGAGGTACATTTATATGCTGTGAGCAAAAATACCATGATAAGGTAGTGGATTAAACTCAAATGTCTCGTCCTAAACTCTACTACTCTCGGTCAAATTTTCAAAAAAATGTTTTCAATCGTTAAAGAAAATGTCTCCTTAGAAATAGTAAAAGTTAAAAAGTCCTATTCAAAAAGCTGTTATTTGATATTTCGATGTTCAGATTTCCTAAATTGATTATGAAGACAAATCAGGATAACACACAAAATCTGAGGAAATCACATGAACTCCAAAAGGAGCAGTCAATATGAAAGGTACACACCCCTACTAATGAATATAAAAATATGAAGATGTGGTATGATTGCCAATAAGACAACTCTCCTCAAAAGACCAAATGACACAAAAAATAACAACTATAGGTCACCGTACAGCCTTCAACAATGAGCAATACCGCATAGTCAGCTATAAAAGACCCCGAAATGACAAATGTAAAACAATTCAAACGAGAAAACTAACAGCCTAATTTATGTATAAAATAATAAACGAAAAACTAATATGATACACAGAAACAAACGACAACCACTGAATTACATGCTCCTGACTTGGGACAGGCACATACAGAATTTGGCGGGGTTAAACATGTTATCAAGCGCCCATCCCTCCCCTTACCTGGGACAGTGGTGAAACAGTAAACGATAAGAACAAATTGTAAAAATCAGTTGAAAAAGGCTTAACACATCAGATGGATACAAATAGAAATACATCTAACAAAAACACAGAGTGGACGTGGCAGGATACTTATACATCCCCACAATGAAGTCTGTATAGTATGAACATGCATGAGCGTAAAGTATCAATTTATATATGTAAATGCCATACGACGGGGCAGAAGGCATGTTACTGCTGCAAAATGGGAAGTTGACAATTAAAACATTGAAATCCTCACTTTTGTCATTGATTATAATTTGAAGTCGTCTATCTGTGTCATTATCGAGAAAGAAGATCAAGATATCAAGCAGACATTCTAGTTTCGGTAGTATCAACAGTTTACATATCCTAGACTTTCTATTTTTCGTTATTCAATATTCCTGGTGAAGGTACATCCAAAAAAGAGCTTTGGAAGAAAAAAAATTACAAAGTGTTATTTTTGTTTACTCCAACCAGCTTGCACAATCAACATAAAAATGTTCATTCAAACGGTCTTTCATTTCACAGCATCTTGTAAACTTCCAATGACTTCGTGATGACATCATTCTGATGTCAGTTTCACTAAACAAAATTTCAGCATGGACATATAAAATATAAATACTAAATGATTTGACTGCTTCCAAAATACATCTCGTACGAACTGAAGTAGTATCATACGTGTATCAATTCCACTCGTTATGTCTTGCTTCAAGTGGTCACTCAGTCCCCATCAATGCCTTTCGACATCAAGTTATAGCGCATGTCCTGGCATGATTTGAATGATATTTAACAACTACTAAATAAGTTGTAATAATACTGAAACTAACGTTCCAACTGTTTAAGGCAAAATTAGCTTTGTTTTCAAATGTTGCATTTCTGATACGTTTTATTCTATATATTTTGTGTTCGCAAAATTATAAATACCCGAAAAGGAGAATATTGGTTCGAAAGTGTTATGTGTTTGACGAATTTTTGTGATCAAACCAACATATAGAGCAAATCACAACCAGAAAATGTGCAAAATTGTAAGGTATAGAACCACTAATTCAGGCCAGAAAGAACAAACAAGGAAGTAGTACACATTTTAAACAAGATGGTTCATACGCATAGCTGTATTTTGTCAATTAGTGAAATATTTTGGTAATTTTGGTCACAAATTAAAGCTTAAGGACTTTGGATCACTGTAGAACTCATGCTGAAATTTTCTCTTGAATAACAAAACAAAGATATGAAGTAGACAAAGAGGTCAAACAGCACACATGCATGCTATCGTAAACCTATTGTATCAAAGCAACTGGAAATAATAAAACAATAACATTTAACGATTTAAGATGTTAAGGAATAGTATGTGACATATTTGAAAGTTAGGGATGTATAAATATGCAGACACATTAGAAGTTCTATAACCAAAAAGGAAAAACAAATATTTGCTAAAGTCATCTATGGTCAACTTTGCCTGAGGAACTTAGAACCTTAGTTTGCAAACAAAATTTTAACTCAACAATGGGAAATTTGTTGAAAAGTGTGATATAATTCTTATCAGTTCCAAGCACTGACTACTTAGCTGATAAAACCGAAGATTGATTGATGATTGCTAAATGTTTGTAAAAGAGCTCAAATGTCAAATGGCGGTAACTTATGGTCATGTTCGTTTCTGGTTATCTTAAAAAAAATGCCTCCTTCGAATTCATTATCATGTGTCCACACACTTAAGATCATGTCTGCTTTAATCGGATTTTTTTAAGCATAGTCCATACAGTCCCGTCAAACGCACGTTGTTACATAATAGTTTCAATGTCACCTATAGCATCACTCGCATAAAACAAAGCAAATACCGATCAATGTATATAATAATATCGATACTTGTGCAAATATTCAAACATTATGGTTAAAAACGGATATCATCACTCAGCTTATATGTCACATGCGTGTTTTAAAGTACAATGGAGGAAAATCGGTTTTATCGTGCAACAACTTACATTGTAGTTTTGTTAGTTAAAAACTTTTATTTTCAAAAGTGTTGTATAAATGCCTTAATGTGTTGAATGCTGTTAATTTATCTGACGCTTTCGCACATAGATACAGCCTTTTTCATATTAAGCTCAAATTCATTACTGTCTTAACATAATCATGATCAATTCCAACTTTTGATTATATTTTAGGATGCTGATCCATGTACAATTATATCCAATACCAATGTAGTATGTAAAACTCCACCGTATGTGAAATCAGATTTCGGAAGATGGAAAAGGGCAGCTGTACAAAATATTTATGTTCATTTTGATAATTATAGATTGTCTATTGGAGTATTTTATGTGGATGATCCACTGTTTGAGAAACTATCAAAAGTTTATGTATATGTTAATAATGCAGTCTTGGTAATCAAGGTATCATTATTTATGTCATTATCCGATTTTATCTTCGAACAAAAACGTGTTCATAAAAAATGAAAACAACACTTTATAAATTACAGGCGTCTGAAGCGCTTTTCTGCATTGACCTTTATCAGGAACGCTCAAAGTCAAATATTTGAAAGTTAAGGATGTATAAGAACCGAAACAGTTGAAGAGCTATATGACCAAAAACATCATAACAAATAGCCATATCCAACTTATTTATCTATTCGATTGGATATGATTCTAAAAAGCTAAACAATACTTGTCAATCCTAATAAGTAAGACCCGTTTTAAACATGTCTAAATACTATTACAAACGTTATTGATGATTTGGTATAATGCCAAAGCTCACGCCAACTCTTGGTTCTAAAAGAGATAGCTTTACGTTCGTTCATTATCACGTTTGTAACTTAATCATGACAAATTATTATTTCGACCTTTTTGACATGGAAAAACAAATATCTTATTTTACAACTAAGTTTTGCACATCAAAGAAGGTAGATTTTTAAATTCAAGTATAATAATATGTATTTAATTCATATCAATGAGCATACAGATTTATCAAATTAATTAATAGTTTTTGCCATTAAATTTTTGATAGATTCTTCGTACACAGTCATGTACTTGTGATGCAGTTTCGAACTTTCACAAATATGCTAAAAATATGCAAGCCTAGCCTAATCTGAAAACTTAAGTATATGTAGTATATATATATTGGAGTTGTAATGTATACATGGTATATGTGCAATAACAGACTTTTTTTTATATTTAGCCTATTTACCATTTACAAATATAGTTTATAATGAACTGTATGTAAAAATATAGATTATAGTTCACCATGCTTCTTTTAAACCAGTAGGCTATGCAAATATCTAATACAAGTATATTGTAAAGGTTTTGGTTTTTGAAGCAAAAAACGAAAAGGGAGGAACAGAACTCGTTTTTTTGTCACATAGGAAAATAAATCAAATTTGAGTACACTCTAGCCTTAAAAACAAATTTCTTCAAAAAAAAAAAGAAAAAAAAAAAGAATCAACGAATAATAAGTCTTGACTAGTGATCAAATATAAACATGTTACTCATATCATATCAATTTACCCACTTTTTTAACCGTCCTGCATTTGAATTGTACTTCGGCATTCACATTTTCTCTTTGCAGTGAGTGTCAGCACCGTTAATGGGCGTTCAAATATGTACATTTAGGCATTCCAACTAGACTTTCAAAAGTAACAAATAAAAAATTAATACAAGAGGCATACAAGAGGCATAGTAGTAAATAAACCCATTTAGGAGTTTTCCGTACGTTTCAAAAAGAAACATTCATCGGTATAAATGATTTCAACGAGGAACAATAACAATGAATACAAGGATATCGTACACTTTGAAACGCAAAGTAACAGTGCTAATACTTACTGTATTATATTTTTGTTATCCGACGAGAATAATTTTTTTACAAATATTTGATGCGAAATGGAAAATCATATATTTCTATATAATTATCTCCTAAACATATGTATACAAAGATTAACTCACTTGTACTTGAATCGATCCCGTCATTTATCCTGATATTTAAATTTTCTTTATTTGTTGCTCTCATTGTCGAATGATATACAATAAGTTGTGGAATTTAAGAAAAATATCACACAAAAGAGATGTAAGTATTTTCCAATGAGTCATTAGACTTTTGTATATTATTTATAGAAAAGATTTAGTTGATCAGACGTGAACAAATTTTGTGAAACTGAAGATTTCATTAATAAAATATGTGAGAATTTAAAATTATACACAGCTTGATGGGTGACAGAGCAGTCTGTTACCAAACTAAATACATGGTAAATCGATCCTTCTGGTCCAAGTGTTAAAGTAAAACGTTATCCCGTATTGACCACAAATTTAAACTACATATTTTTCTGTCGAATTTCCCATTCACATTAAATTTTACCCTAAATAAGTCATGTAAAATATGTTCATTTGTACACATGTACCTTTATGATTTATAAATACGTTACCATTTCAGGGTCGTCGATTATTACAAGGAGCTAGACCTGATGATTATTTCGTACGTGTAGGACTGGATGGCTTATGCCGCATTTTAGATATAAACAATAACAACATCACATGTCTACCGCCCAAAACCAAGCCTCGTACAAACACCGGCGATTTTGCGTTTATCATGGTAAGAATAATTTGCGCGAAAAAAATCCAACCTTTCTTGTAGTACAATAATTTTTCTAAATTAAAATTCTGAAAATTACCGTTCTATTTTTGATTTTCAGTGACAAAACTCGTCATTTATCAGTTACTATTAAGAACAGTAAGTAATTGATTTTGAAAAGAAAATACCATTAGTGTATGCCAGGATTTTCATTTTACTAAAAAATGATCACCACTAAAGACTCTGACTTAGAATACACATACATGTGTCTTTACCAAAAAAGGTTCCATTATATAAAATTACGTAATATAAAAATGTATAAAAGTCAGGACTACTATTAACGTTTTACACTAAATCCGATGATGGTTTGCTAATTTAAGTTTTAGTGTTGGAATACTTGGTTTTATTTTTTCTTTGAAATGATTAGACTTTTAACTAGCTACAGATAAGTGTGAGTACTCTTTCTTCGGTAATTTATGTATGTTTGGCTATAAGTTAATTGGTTCTTGTGCCTAGTTACACTTGCATGATTATAGCCATTGCAGATGCTCCCAACCAGTGTACACTGTAGTAGCTAACATAGAATGGCCTAAAAAAATGATGACCTCAACTGCCCACAATAGCACACTTTCTTATCTATTTTCGTTTTGCTTTGAGCGTTCCCGATGAAGGTAAATCTAGAAAAACACTTCGGAATGCTTGACAATAATAAAGTTTTTTTCTTGTACTCACTTAATTCTGTGTACATGTGATGTTCTACAATTATATGTTTATTTTTGTTTTATGTAAGAAGCTGAGCCATTCTAAAAGGGGGTAATTTTATACTATTATTTCTCAAAACATTTTTGATATTGTGATTGATTGATACATTGTTTGTGTTTTGACGCCACCTTTAGCGTACTTTGATATACATATCCTGACATCTTCTCTATTGTAATCTACTACTTATTGAGCAAACCATATACTAAACTGCATCTAACAAAATATATTATTCACACAGGTTGTCGTTGGGAACATTAATGAATATGTTGGAAATTTACGTTATGATTCCTCTACCAGTGAAAATAACAAAAAAGTTCCTTATGGAGTAGCAGGTGGTGTAATTGTGGTGGGAATTGTGGTCATCATATTGCTCGTCGTTATTATGTTTCGACGCAAAATAAAAAAGAAAATGGCCAATACCACCACTGAATTGAACGAAATCAAGAAAGAAATTAGCAAGACGGTCGCCAAACTGGATGGTATGTTTTTGTGTTCTTGTTTTAAATATAACCAGTTGAATTCGAAAAAGGTACTTATGACAACTACTCTATTGTGATGTATTTTAAACATAAAATGATAACAAAAGCTGCATACAGTAGGATATTAATGTGACTTAACAGAAATTGATTAATTTAGCCTTAGTTATACTACAAAAATTGTTAAGATGTAAGCATCTACTACTATGAAAGAATTGATTCGTTGTCTAAAGTTATAATGAAGGTCCATTCAAGAATAAGTCCTAACAATTGCTTGAGCTTTTTTTGCATTAAGTCATGAAGCACAAAAGGAAGCATAAGTCAGCAAGTAGAGGTATTACTTGTATCAGTAGAAAGTATGGAACGTTTGCATAAATATAAAGTCCATTGAACTACATTTTCATCACGAATGACCTTGATTAGTTTTACATTAAAATCTGTGTTAAATATCTGCATATAATGATAGCGAATTATAACAGTACGAAAAGACACATCGTGGAAAGTATGATGAAGATCAACATAACAACTAGACTATAATGGCCATGAACTGTATTACGATATTATGAATGGTTTAAAAGTTAATTTATAAACAAATGTATGTGTGTTTTCGCCATGACAGCAAGCAAGGGTAGTAAATCTATTATAAGTGAAATGATCAAGGAGGCTACCTTTTTAGATTATTCATTTCACAATGTTTCATTTTTCCTTGAAATTTCCCTTTCATACTTTTGATTCAAACCTTGGCAAAACAAAAACGCTTACTAGCATTTGTTTCCTCTTCATTATCGTTTAAGATATTTTGTCATCAGCACCAATATAACGTTAATCATTTTGTCAGCGTAAATTTTAATTGTTTTCGTGGTTTTTTTTTATATTTTGGTTTCAATTTTTTAATACGATATATTTCCTTGTGAATTTTTTTAACTTCGTACCCGCCACTGATATTTAATTTTCGAATGATTTATTTGACTGTTATCCTTTGTCACGGTACTGTTTATGTTGTTTGATGGCTATGTTTAGATTGACCATCTGAATAGACATTGCAAAAACTGCTTGTCTGCTCGTTAATTGATATAACAATAACTTTTCTCTCTATTCTCTCTGTTTTAGGATTGTCTGCCGGTTCAATGAACTTAAGGTATAATATGCTTGTTTTCATATGTATTCCTCACAGTTTCATAAGGTCCTTTGTTGGTAATTTAAATGTATCTAAATGGTTTTGTTTTCTATGGTCACATTACTTATGTGTCATTCAACAATATTGTAGACCTACGTACATATGAACAGCAACAGTTTAGCCAATGATAATCAACAAAAGTTTGATAAAAACAAAAAAACTTCCAAAATAGAACATGAACAACAATGAACGTAAAAATGAATAATAACTAAATCATCTTTATAATTACTTTCAACTGCTGGTTTCATTTTCAAAAAGGAATTCAGTCAATATATACAAAAGTTTAACTTATGAGATAGAAAAGCTTTTATAACATACATACTACTAATAATTGTTTTACATTATCTTTCAAATCTTTATATTTGTTTACATGGCAGGACAGAATTTGTTGAGCCTAATGAGTCAGATTATGCTGAAATAAATGGAGAGGATGAATTAAATAGACATACAAACAGACACACTGATTTAGATGTAGCTTCTGGATATGAAGATCTCGGACAAATGTCAGCAAACTATCCGTATAATCAGCTACAACAGGCTACTAATGAGTCAGATTATGATGACATAAATGCAGAGGATGTATCAAATAGACATGCACATAGACACACTCATTTAGATGTAATTTCTGGATATGAAGATCTCGGACAAATGTCAGCATACAATCCTTATAATCAGCTACAACAGGCTACTGAAGAAGACCTTAATCAAGAAGTGGCGAATACTGATTACCTAACAAGTAGACGACTATCTTCTAATGACTTTAGTGAATCCGAGGATTATATGGAACCGGTTGACACAACTGATGCCAACAACAAATTAAAAGTTCTGTCCGTAAACAACGAATAGTATCAACTCTAACGGATTTGAATAAACTTTCAAAAGATGACAAACCTCATCAAAAATAATTGAATATGTCCATATTAAATAAGAAATGTATTTTTATATTTTAAAGATTTGTTTAGCTTATCTACGGGCTATATCCTACATTAACCCAAAAACTAGATTTTAATTTCTAAAACACTACTGAACATTAAAACCTTCAAAATTTTCACTTTGCAATGTTTCGATACAGATGTGGATATGTTAAATTAACGCATGATCATGATTTTTTCTAACGTTCTTATCTCTTACTCTCTGAAGAAAGCACATTTTAAGATTTCATTAAAATGTTTGATGGCCAACGCGTATATACCTCAATGAAACAAATGCAATGATAGTCCGTACTAGAATAATAAATTACGTGGATCTTTTGCGTATACAAATGGAGTAATGAGGTAATCTTTAAGGAGACTGCAAAACCATTCAGCAGATAAAGTGTGAACCACATATGTCAACCTGCAGTTTTTTGTCAAATTGCCATGAATAAAGTGAGGATACAGTTTTCAGAAACTTACATTTATCTGTTTTAAGACAACTGACGTTATTTCTTATTTGAGGCATGCACTATAACATATGCCTGGACAGAATGCGTTCCTAAAATACTGATGCCCTCTCTTTTTAACGATGAAAATTATTTTAGAAAAATCTGCACGGTAATTAATGTCTCTTTGACCGACCATCGTCAATTTTTGATAGTATGCCCTATCTTCTATATTGTATTTGTTTTCATCGTTTTAGTGACCATAGCGACAGACTTTTTTCATTTACCGAAACACTATCAAATTCCAACTTCAGAATTTGTAAATTCAGCATTCATTCATAGAAAAAAAAACTTTACGTCTAATTTAATTTTTCTATTTTGTGAACTTTTTGTGAACTTTAACGTTTTTCGAATATGAAACAATATTGCTAAAGTGACATATAGGATTTATGGGCCAGGTGTAAATATCAAATTGCTATGTATATAAATGTATGTAGTGATACGCATATATACTATTATATACACTATAATTAATAATTACTAACTTACTTACTCGTTTTGAAAACACATGAAATTTCTTGTCGTCTTTAAAGCAGTCTCAATTTCACTTTCGGCATCTGAAAAATGTTGATTTTAGTTGTCTAGTACACAAATTTATAACATGAAAGCAGTAATAGAAAATTTATGATAAGTTTACTTTATGCCTATACATGACACTGACGCGCATAAATAGATAAAATGTGCATCTTGTGTTTGGTCTAAAAATTGTTAGTAAAACAGTTTCCACCACCGTATTCCGTGAAAAACGATATATCTCCATTATCGTCAGTAACATTTTAAATATTCAAATTGCTGGCGATTCTCACTAAAACTGTCCCGAGAGGAGAAATATCGTATCACACTTGATACAGTGAGTGTGTTTATATGTGTGCGTTGGATACATTGCTATTTTTTTCATGAGATATAATAGTTATCCTCAAAAAATATTTCATCCATGTATGTCTTTTTTCATATCCATTTGTATAATTTTGCTCCATATTCAAAAACAATAAAACGTGCATATAGAGATACACCAATACGTGTTCTTTAAATTATTTTATAAACTGACAAAATTGAAACACGCATTTTCTATTGATTTTTCAACGGCAATATGGTGCGCTGAATAACCTTTGGAGTTTATCTTTAAAGTATATGATACAGATTCCTTGCTCTTGCACCTGTGAGTGAATAAAAAGTATGCAAAGTGTACCCCGCCACTTTATATAATGTAAATTTATTGGCACAGTTCATCAAATTAACTTTGTTAACATGTAAATTCAATGATTAAATAGCGAAGAGGAGAAATATCGTATCACACTTGATACAGTGAATGTATGTTTATATGTGTACGTTTGATACATTGCTATTTTTTCATGAGATATAGTTATCCTTAAAAAATATTTCATCCATGTTTTAGTTTTTTTTGCTCCATATTCAAAAACAATAAAACTTGCATATAGAGATACATCAATACGTGTTCTTTAAATTATTTTATAAACTGACAAAATTGAAACACGCATTTTCTATTGATTCTTCAACAGCAATATGGTGCGCTGAATAACCGTTGGAGTTTATCTTTTAAGTATATGATACAGGTTCCTTGCTCTTGCTCCTGTGAGTGAATGAAAAGTATGCAAAGTTTGCCCCGCAACTTTATATAATGTAAATTTATTGGCACAGTGCATCAACTTAACTTTGTTAACATGTAAATTCAATGATTAAATAGCGAAGTGTATAAAAATATGGTCATCCCTGAAATTTTCTTACCCTACGCTGGATGTACAAATACTTATCTGTGGTCGGAATGAGGCATTAAATCCGATGCAAATGAAACATCCCCTCTTTAAAGTGTTCTGAGATGACCTGGTGCAAAATATTGCCCCTAGTCAACATAATATCCTGATTTCCTTAAAGTGACAGTCAAATTTACTGACCTTCCATCCAATCAACCCTTTATGCAAAACCTACCTAATGGATTTATTGTAAAATTGTAACTGTTCTAAATATACATGACATACTTTCACCTGTATATTAAAGTCATATGAAACTTCAAATTTAAAAAAAAAGTTGGATATGTTTTATTTACTTGAAAGGCTAAGATTTACAATAAAACAAGTGTACGTTTACAACGAAACCTCTCGTTACAACTTCAGCCACCGCACAGAGAAAGTGCGAGGGGAGAACTGATGAATGACTGTAAACAAACATGCAGTTATAATTCTTAAAGAACAAATTAAATACACCAAATCATTTAACAACTGTTTAGAAAAAGTTTAATTAACTAATAGGGACGCACGGGAAATATACAAAAAATATCACGACTCTATTAATGCATTTATTTTTTTACGATGATCTGTATTGATTGTTAATTAGCTTGAGATCAACAATCACTGAATGAAATATTATTTGTCGGTTATAGATTCGACATAAATGTAAAACAAACGCATCCAGGACTTATTTTAATATATATGATAGAAAAAAAAAAAAAGATTTTGGGTATCCGTCCATGACATAAAATCAGTATATTCAGAGCAAAAAACAAAAATAACAAAGAAAAAGCGCCTTTATTGCTGTTCTTCATCTCAAAGACACAGTGAGGCCTTCAACACGGAGCAACTCACTGCAAGTTAAAGACAGCCTCTTGCACAGGTTTGAGCGGAATTATTTGCAACTTGACGACCACAATCACGCCACAACTGTGAATTGAAGAACAAATCCCTGGCGTAATATCAATAAAATATATAAATTCAGCTCGACAATCACACTGAAGCGTGCAAAAATCATTACAAACATTTGGACAAGCACGGGGCACATCGAGATATATGCTAGATAACTTGGCAGGAAATAACATATGTATAGGGCAAATAATCCGGGTAGACTATGTAACACCACCGGGCCCGGTTAAAAAGAACATACCAGAAAATAGTACATATTTTAAACAAAATAGAATCTACGCATAGGTGTAAATATCAAACTTTGTGGAATATATTTTGGTAATTTAGGAATCAAATGAAAGTTGACTGACTGGTGATCCTTGTAGGACACCTTTTGACTGGTAATTAAGAATAATACAAAAATGAGTGAATGAATTCTATAATCGAGGGCATATATTGCCTGTTACTCAAATATATGCGTGCATTGGTTCAATAATTTCGATAACAATATAATGATAAAAAACTCGTTTCATATGACTCTAAGCAAGCAACAAGCAATCAAAGATGACATTTTAAACTATATGTAATCAAATTATGGAAAGAAAAGTAAGGGTAAGAGGGCAAAATTTTTAATGGCACTACATGGATAAAACCAGAGAATTCCGAATATCTGTCAAAAATTCAAAAACAAGAGGAGCGAACATCCTTAAAGCTCACATTTTACTGCATTTTCAAAATGACGCCTCACACAGGATCGAGCGGAAATATTTGCGACCTGTCGATCATGCTTCATATGTGCATTGGTGAAAAAGTTAGGGGCATAATATAATAAGCATTGCATCTCTTTTACTTTCAAATTTATAGGTACCTAATACTTAAGTAAACTCTTATAAGTAAAATTAGTTAATGAGTTTTTATGCATACCACTTAAGATTTGTTGCTGAGACTTGCATCAGCTATGATTTAACCCAGAAAACACCAAGTTTAAGATGTTTCATGCATGCCATTGTATTACCAAGAGCGGAATATTGCTCAAATGTTCACTTATGGATGTCCGCTTGTCTTGTTTTTACCTCTTATAAGATATTTGGAATCCTCTGGTTTTAAACATTTGGTGCCATTATAACATTTTGACCGCTAACATAGAGTTTAAAAAGCCATTTTTTAGAATCTTATAAAATCCTTGTAATTTTGTCATAGTTTTAGAAAGAAAAAAGATGCCAATGTTTATTGTATAAAAAGTCTAGAGAGAATCATTTCCCGCCAAATTTTCCATGGCTAATATCTCAAAAAAAAAGACACAAGCCTTGCGTTTTTTAAAAGGTCTTTTAGTTCTGTTATGTATATATAATCAATTTATTACAATCCTTTAAAAAATGTTATCTTTAAACAGAGTAGCAAACATCCTTAAGTAGCTTCATGCATATAGGCCTTGACAAGGATTGATTGATTGATTGATTTGTTATTTTACGCAACTTCTAGCACTATTGTGCTATTTCGTGGCGGTCAGATTTTTTCATTGGTGGAGGAAGCTGATGGGCCCGGAGAGAACCACCGACATTCGGTAGGAAAATGATAATCATAGATAATAAAGATTAGAGTCGAGCGCCAAATGAAGCAAACAGCAACATGGTGTTGAATATAAGTCGACCGAAACATAAATCACTGGTGGTTAGCGAATGGTCGTAGTGTAAAGTTACGGTTAGCAAAAGATGGGAGACAATTCTGGAGGTAAGTTTTTCTTTTCCGATTTTCGTGCAGTATAAGGTTCACTTCAGCCAAACCGCTTATCTCAAACACACTAAGCATTAGTACGTTGATATTGAGGTGAAAGTTGACACATAAAATCATTCGAATTTTCGTAAAAAAGTCATTCAAAAATTCCGTGTGATGGTCATAACTTAAAAATCAAAAATGTTACAGATGGGCGAAACGTAAATGTGTTCTGGTCGTAACTCTGTATTAAATATGTCCGTATAAGGTCAGTAAAGAGTTTTAAACGTGTCTTTTATGAATATATTATATGATATATTTGTGCATTTTTTACATACGACGGATTATAAAGCAATTTCGTTTACGGGGCAGGAGAAAGCAATTATTGACGGTATCAATCGTTTAATGGCAAATGGACGGGAATCAAGACTTATGATGTAATTGTCACTGCGCCACCACTAACACAATATTTTGATCAGATATTGACGACAAAATGGAAGCTAATACAGACACGGACCAGGACGCATTAGTAGTTGTAAGTATTAGTACGTAAAATACTGCAGTCTTATATCTGCATATTTGGAATGATTTAAAGTACATGCACGGCTTTTGTGTAAATTTATCAGAAATCTTAAAGCATGGTTCAATTATGCAATAAAATGTAGTTAAAATAGATTGATGAGGGTGTGGATGGGGTTTACAGAATAGAGAATAATGGGCCAAAAGAATAAAGAATAGAGAAAAATGGACAACAAATATAAAGAATAAATAATAATGGGGTCCTAAAATATAAAGAATAAATTGAAAAAAATTATAAAAATTTATAAAAATATACTGATTACAGAAAAAAACAATGAGCAGAATACAGAAGTCATGTAATTAAGAATAGCTATTATTTTTAAAGATAAAGAATAATGGGTAAAAAAAATAAAGAATACAGAAATGAAGGACCCCCCATCCATACCCTCATTTATTATGTTTAGGTAAACAGTTGAAATTAATAAATTTTAAAGCTACGGAATATTTTATGATTTTAGATATTCCCTTGCAATCACGCAAACATGGCAGTTGACAGATGATGGAATGTAATATTCAATGACAGATCTAGAAAGGGGGATCAAACCCGTAGCCGACAGATCCAGCCGGGGGAAGGTCTAAGGCTTGGATCCCCCTTTCTGTTCAATTTAGCAAAATTCTTAAACATTCAAGGGGAAATCGATGGGATTTTTGTTTCATTGTTATGTTGTATTCACATGTAGTATTAACCAAATGAAGTTATTATGCTTTTTGTAACAGCATGTTCAATGCTATGTTTGAGATTTTAAAAGTTTTTCATAAACAATTTATATCATAATTATATGTCCACAAAAGGTGGATACATTATATAAATAGCAATCAGTTCATTTTCTGGGGTGATGGAATTTTTTTAAAATCATGAAAAAAAAGTTAAAAAAGTTAAAAAATAACTATATCCATGATTTCTATTATATGAAATAGTAAATCTTAAGAAAATATTCTGATATACAGTACCGCGCTGAAAACATAAATTAATTGTTGAATGCATAGTGCAGAGAAACAACATTCATACCCCAGAAATTCAAATGGTTGCTCACTTGGCGTCCGTCGTCCGTCCGTCGGTCGTCTGCCAAGGTCGTAATTTTTTTTCATATATATTTCTTCTCTAAAACCACTGGGTAAATTTGAATCACACTTTACATACATAATACCAATTTTTATGCGCCAGATGCGCATTGCGACAATTATTCAGTGATGCTCGAAGCCAAACTATTTGAAAGTAAAAAACATACTATTAACGTTGTAGAGCTTATAAAACAACAAGGGACCAAAAGAAATGCCAAACCCGAAAGGAATCAGGGCTTTGCACGAGGAAGATTATATTCCTGAATTTAAAATGATTAAGAAATTTCATTACAGCATACGAAATAAATGTCTTATTTGTTTTTGCTTTTGTCTTTTGATTGAACAACTGAAATGGTAATCATGGATTTAAATAGAACAAAGCAGAAATCAACATGTTTTTGCTCATATTTCAAAAAGTACATAAATAAGCAGGTCGCCTAAAGTGTTAGGCACATCAAGATTG